GTTTAATGCTAACCCAGGATTAAAAGTTTTCACTACTTTTGTTTCATGTTAAAACTCAAAACAGAAGGCCAAACAATATACAGAAAACCTTACCCCAAAGTTACAAAACTCAAATCAAAATTTTACCTTATCCTGAATTAGCTTAATTGGCCGCTGAACAACCCGGTACAAGAGCTACGCTTTTAGGCTGGCCTAAATCTATATATTATTATTTCAATGTACATTTGCTTCACATTAACTTGTGCTTGTTGTGAATGAGCAGTGTCATTAGGTATTCGCTCTACATGTTTTTCTAAGATACATGTACAGTGGTTTGAAAATTCCTCCCAATTGTTTGAAACAATTAATTAATAATGGTAACAGGACTGAGTGGAGTCCAGTTCGGTCTGTAATCATACGAGTGATTAACAAAATCGGACGACCACGAAGTGGGAGTCTGATTTGTTAATCACGAGTATGATTAAATGTTAATAGCCCTTATATGTGATGACATCAGACCAGCAAAAATCACCACCAAGCCTTGGTTTGATAAATTTTATCATGAACAAATTCCCAAAGCAGTAAAGATAAAAAGAATACCCACATGAAAACAACATGAAGGCAACAAAAGTTTGAGAAAATGTTGCGCAAACAAGGCTTGGTAGTGAATTTTGAGCATGTGACGTAATCACACATAAGACCTTTCAGTGAAAAGCATCTTTTGTTTTAGTCAAATTATGCCTTGCAGCATTTGTTCAGTTTAAATACCATTAAACTGAGTTCGTTCAAGGTAAATTAATGAAAATTGAATATCATTCTTACCAATATATACTTGCCTGATATTCCATACTTGAAATGAATAATAATGCATGTATATATTTGAACTGTATTTATACCATGCCATAGAAGATAGAGCCAATCAGAATACAAGAAAGTTGTGATATATTTGATGGTATTACACCCAGCATGGCTGGTTGTGTTGGCCACTGTATTTTCTACATGATTGTATGGCATGGTATAAATTTAATACATGTAGTCCAAGAATGAAAATACAAGTGATACGCATGATATTCCATGGTATACCACTCTGAAGGCTTGCATAGCTGGTATATTTTGGAATAAGAAACAAACCGTCATTGATTTTATGTTGCTCTTTTGTGTGGTCAGGTCTACATTAAAAGGCATGTTAAATATTTTGAAATTAAATATTGACTCATGTTTTTTTATTTTCTTAATAGACTGGAAAACGTCTTAGTGTTCTAAGAGGTCACTCACGGCCCATTAAATGCATGCTTCTATTACACCAGAGGCAGGAGTACCAGAGTGAAGACATAGCCACCACTCTCCTGCTCACTGGCTCCTCTGACAGAACCATTCTAGTATCCTTGCATTAATTTCTTACTTAGTACAGGAGTCAGCTTAATTGTTCTTGATCATGCAGCAGAACTACTGGAATATTTTCCATCCAATTTCATGCCAGGTATACATCTCACATTACTGATAGGTGTTGAATTGGAGTTGTGTTGGTGTTATGGTTAGTGTGCTCAACTCCAGGTCTAGCAGTCCAGGCTGGAGCCTTGGCCAGGGAGTTTGTGTTGTGTTCTTGGGTAAGACACTTTACTCTCACAGTACCTCTCCACCAAGGTGTATAAATGGGTACCTGCGGATTTAATGTTGGGGGATTACCCTGCAATGGAATAA